GAGTCTCGGGTAGATTAAGTCCGATTGAATTGTAAAAAGAGTTCTTAGTGGATTGTTCATCATATGGGCGTGGCCCCGCGGAGTAGGATGTTACCGAACCGCGATACCATTTCTCTCGTGTTCTTTTATTTTATGTTTCTGCATTATTCATATTGTCTTATAAATTGTTAAAAGACTAAAACCGGTACTTACATTTTCAATGAATTCATAAAATATGAATGCCGAAGCCTATGAGTTTCATAATTGTTATATCTGCTACCCATATGAATTTTCGTGTTATAAAATAGAATTTTCAATGAATTTTCGTGTTATATCTGCTACCCATATGTATGGGATATGATGAATATGAGTTTCATAATTGTTATGAATTAAATTACTAAAATTATACTATATCAGTTAAATGGCATGAACTTAACAAGAAAGCATGAATGCCCGAGCCTCTCGGATCACGTCACCAAGCAAGAAAAGATTAAGTAAGCTAATTTTAAGGTAACGTATAATCTCACTTGTATCTTGAATAAGTTTTGAAGAAATATTTATGTGATTTTGAGGTGTTGATTGCATGTTTTCAAGAGAAATGATTATATATTATATTGTGTTTCAAGTTTATGATTACTAGTATTATCATGATTACGGATATGAGTTGGGCGACCCCATGCAAGATAATAATATGCAAAAACTATTTTCATAAAGAAGCATAATTGATTCATGTTTTGTTATGTGTTTAATGCTCTGTGAGAAAAATGGTGTACTTACTGATTTCTAGCTCATGTCTTAAATGGTGTAGTTTTACAAGTTCAAGATTGTGATTACGTTATTTTGTTTATGAAATTAAAATATTAAAGACTATTGTTTGATAGTGGTCAATTGGTGACAAGAAGACTTATTAAAATCGGTCGACCAGACTTTTTTTTTTTTTTTAAATCGTTGGGTTTTGAAAAGGAGTTTTAAGTCTTAGAATTTCTGTTTTCTTAACTATGCTTCCGCACAAGTTTAATTATCTTCAAGTCTTTTATGATGAATGAAAAGAAAAATGTAACGGTCTAAAGGGAGTCATTACACAAATGAAATTCTCAAGTACCGAAAACAAACACATAAATGAGTACATAAACAAGAGCACATATATGGCTAACACTATTTAGAGAGAGAGCGAAATACATTACCTAATCAAGGTAAAAACCACCGTTACCATAAACCAAAATATAAATAATGACAAAATAAAATCCCTAAGCATTACTGACAAAACCTCCAACAATTTGATATCAGCTAAAGCAACTAGAGAAAGCAATAAAGCATGAGAGATGCATGATGCAGTCAAAGTGCCGCCCATGTCGCGGCACGTAAGCTCCACGCACCGCCGCCGTCCACACGACCACCGCCATGTGAATCCCCACCAACTGTGCAGATCTAACAACGCTACAAAACTAATGGCCACCAATCTCTATGATCTCACCTTGGATCCACTCCCACATTGCTACAAACTAATGGCTACAAACAAATAGTCCTCATTCATATTTATTTTTTTCCCCCCTTTTCCAAACAACGCTACATGTCATTGACCTAAATCTTTGCAAAATCAATAGTGAGCTTTCCATCGTGGGCCTTCCTAAAGAAGTGCTTGACGTAATCCGAGTATAAGATTGGTTTATAGAGAGGATTTTCTCCGTTACTAGCGAGCACTTCAGGCAAGGGAGAGATGATATCTGTTGGCCTTGGATTGACAAATAAGGGAACAGAAACCCTCTTCTTTTCTTTATTAGCCACTACTCTATGCTCAATACTTTTATACCTTCCATTACTAAAAATTTGTAGGGCATCACCGACGTTGATAATAAGAGATTCTTTTACCGGCGGAACATGGATCCAACTGTCCTTACCGTCTACTCGCACGTAAAGCCCTCCGACATCATCTTGCAGCAAAATAGTGAATGTTGAGACATCCGAGTGGCGCCCAACTCCCACGGTGAGCTCCGGATTAGGGCAAACAGGATAGTAAATAAGGTTAAACCGCCTTGAACCCGCCAGAAGCTTTTCCTTTTCACCATCGATTTCAGTTACATTTATGCCCTTCATTAGCACACTTAGCAGACGGTTTATAACTCTCTCGTTCTCATGCATGTATTCTAACACTTGATCCCTGAAGAGGCAGTGAAATGTAATTTTTTTAATTAATTTAAAGTGGAAATTAGCATTATGTAGCTACAGATATATGTAAAAGAATACCTCTTTCAATAATTTTTTACTTTAACCACTTGCTTGATGCTTATGCGCTTGAACTTTGTTACTTGTTTTCTTTTTTTTCTTTTTTTTTTTTTTTTTTTTACTTCAACTGCTTGCTTGTGGGCTCTAGTTTTTTTTTTTTTTTTTTCTTGTTATCATTATTATTACTTGGTTGCTTTTGTGTTTTGAGAAATCTTTTAGTTTTAATGTTTTTCATTAAAATATTTTTTCTTTGATTTTCTCTTTACAATAGTTTTTTTTTTTCTCAAATATGTCCTCATATAAAAACTCTTTTCACGCATTCTTCTAAAATATCAGTTCTTTTTTTTTTTTTTTCATTTCCCTACTAAAATAACTCTTCTTAAATAGGACCCAAGTCTTTTTTTTTTTATAAAAAAAATCTCGTACTTATTGTTTAGTGTGTTGATCAAAATGCAAAACTTCTTTTCATTCGACCTTTGGAGGTTGCATAAATGCTTGCTTGCCCCATTTTTTTTTCTTTTCCTTTCTTTCTAGAAACCTTGTATTTTAATTGTTTCTCATTAAAACAGATTTTCTCTAATTTTCTCTTTAAATAATATTTTTCAAATATGCCTCTATTTAAATATTTTTTTTACATTCTCCTTTAAAATATTATTTTCTCAAATATGATCTCAGTAAAGAAAATTTATGATTGCCCCACTAACATAATTTTTCTCAAATGTATCTAAATTTTTAAAATCTTATATTTACTTTGTAAGTTTTATTTTTTATTTCATAAAATAATATGTTTGGTCAAAAATATTATCAGTTTGTAAAATCTCTTTATTCTATAATGTACACAAAAGAAAAAACGTATTTATTGTTCTGAATTTTTCTTGTTCAACCATCGTTATATGATCTCATTGTTGTGTTAAAAATTCTACAATTACAATTTCTTCCAAATAAATTATAACTGTATACTATACATAGAAGAAGCAATCAAATTGTTTATTCAAGTTTTCAACTATGAAAATAATAAATTTTCCAACAGTCAAAAATTAGCTTACATTAAAGAATATGAGAATTTAGCGTAATTTAATAAAAAATTTATAATTATCAAAAATCAGTAAAATCAGCATTTAATATTTCCTTCAATTTCCATTCAACCGTGGAAAATGATCTCTTCACAAAATAATAAATCTTCCCAATTATTAAGATTAAACTAAATTAAAGAAAGACAAAATTCGTAATAATTTTTATAAACTTTCATATTTTGTGTATAAGTTTGTTAAAATATGTTTTTTTTTTTTTTAAAAAAAAAAGAGCTACACCTAGAACACGTGCCTAAAGGCTAAAGCACGTGAAAATGATGGCATTGTTAATTAGTACACATATATTATAATGGACAATAAGAAAGAATTTACGCAAATACATATAACTTGCTATAGAGAACGCGATCATGACAATTAATAAAGGGAGATCAAGGGAAATATGGAAATATGAGAAATTAAAATTAATAGGTCATTGTCTAAGAGAAGTTAATAAATAGGTCAATCTTATGTAAATCTAGATCTATAACCAGCTGAAATTTTAAAAATACCCTCTTGATAAATTTTGAATTTACCGAGCAGTTCAAGATTTATCATTAGAGTTTGTACAGTTTTATAAAAAGTGATGCTAACTTAGTAAATTCAGGATTTACTAACTATATCTTGAATTTACTATTAGAATTTGTAGTTTGTACTTTTCTTTTTTAAGTGATTCTAACTTGGTAAATCTTGTTAAATCTTGGATTTACCTCAATTTACCATGCATATTCAAGCTAACTTGGTAAATTCATGATTTATCAAGTATATCTAAGATTTACCATTAGAATGTACTGTTCTTTTTCAAGTGATTCCAATTTAGTAAATCCTAGATATACTTCGATTTATCAAAAGAAAGAGAAAAAATAGTAGGAAAATGGTAAAATTGGAAAATGAAAAATTAAAAACATGAAATGATTTATTAATTTCTCTACATTGGTAAATTATCCATTTACTTCCATAAATTTTATATGTAGGCCTATTTCCTACCATTTCTTATACAATTGATACGTATACATATATCATACATGGATTGATGTAAAGGTATGTAAATGTATATATGAGAATATTATAAATTCCCAATTTTTCATCACTGATTAAGAATTGTTTTTTAGCATTTCAATTACATCTGTATTTAAAAAACTTTCTTCAGTTTTATTTTCCCCCTCTCAAATTCTTCGCACTCAATGGAGAAAAATATTTGGCCCAACACTTAAACGACATGCATGTGCAATAAAAGAAACATCTCTACTATAAACTATTCTGACATTTATAAATATCGACCATGGTACTTGTTCCATTGCCTTTTTTTATTTAATCTTCTATCATCCTCTTTCAAGCCTATTTTTATATATCGACCATTCTATTATATTTGATATAATCAAGGCTGGCTTAGGAGAACAAGGGGCCTTTAACAAGAAAAAAAAACTCATATAAAAACATGAAATTAACGTCAAAATTAAATAATAGATTATGTTACAAAACATAAAAATTTGCCTAAGACCCCTTGTTAACTTAAGCCGGCCATATATGTATGTGTTTATGTAATCTATGTGCGTGTGTATGTATGTATGTATGTATCTATAAATATATATTATAATCACTAGCATAAAAGACATGCAAGATATTCATGTGAATATGTGATCATTAATTATATATGTACGTGTATGTAAATGTATGTGTACATGTGTTATAAGAGTTTGTACGGTTCATAAAAAAGTGATGTTAACTTAATAAATTCATGATTTACCAAGTACATCCTAAATTGACCATTAGAATTTATAGTTTGTATTTTTTTTTAAGTGATTCTAACTTGATAAATCTCGTTAACATATCCAGGATTTACCATTAGAATTTGTACATTTCTTAAAAAAATGATGCTAACTTGGTAATTTCATAATTTACCCAGTATATCCAAGATTTACCATTAGAATTTATACTGTTCTTTTCAAGTGATTCCAATTTGGTAAAATTTGGATATACTTCGATTTATCAAAAGAAAGAGAAAAAATAATAAGAAAATGGTAAAATTGGAAAATTAAAAATTAAAAACATGATGAAATGGTTTATGTATGTATGTATGTATCTATAAATATATATTATAATCACTAGCATAATAGACATGCAAGATATTCATGTGAATATGTGATCATTAATTAATTATATATGTACGTTGTGTATGTAAATGTATGTGTATGTGTGTGTGTGTGTGTGTATTGTAATCAGTAGCGTAATAGACATGCATGAATGAATGAAAGTAGGCTGATTTCAACTTTGTCTTACTTGCAAACAGACGGCCAAAGCTTAGAGGCCTCATCCTCAGAAACGTAAAAGAGACTGAGGTAATCTTTCCATTCCAAAGCCGTCTCGACATGAGGAAGAAAGCTCGTAGTGTAGAGGACATTGTTGGACACCGTATTCTTTTTCGAATACTTGTTCTTCTCCTCGGCAGGTAAGTTAAAGAACCGACATGTCGCGTCTTTGAGATTATCAAGCACTTGGGTGGGGATACCGTGGTTTATGATCTGAAAGAAACCCCATTTTTCGGCAGCGTCACATATTGCCGACGCCACTTTGGGATCGTCCCAATTAGACACATCGATGATCGGAATAGACTCGTCGGCCGTAACCCTATTCATAGTCCGCTCTTCGAGAGGCTGGATGTACTGTTTGGGAAGGGTTTTGATGCCGGTTTCTGAGAGACCCTTTACACCATACCCTCTGTCTATCACAAATTCAGTGACATGATCAGTGGTGTACCGCAGGGTATTAGCAGCCATACTGATGTGTAGGGTTGTGACTTGTAATAAGATGAGTATCGTTTGAATGCTATAGGTTAAAGAGAGGTAAAAAGAGAAGCTGAGGGGTGTGATGATTTACAAGCCTGCAAGATGTATATTTATAGAGTAAAATTGCAAACGTACGTCCAAAATATGTTAAACGTGGCCAATTTATTTTCCAACGGCCAATTAATCTTATCTTTGTATTTGTCATATCTATTTTACAATTAAACACTCGCGGAAATAGTAAAAAATAAGCAAATATGAAAAGCTTAAGAAAGTATATAGGTAAACTTTTAGTTATAGAAATTAATAGGTCATAACTTATCAAGTTATGGTTCATAACCAGATAAGTTATGGATAAATTTGTCAAGTTATGGTTCATAGCTAGACAAGTTATGGATAAAAACTGTGAATTATGGACAATAACTTGTCAAGTTATGGTTCATAACCAGACAAATTATGGACGAGCACAGTAATTTGACCTATTTATTAACTTATGTAAACTATTTATTTATTAATTTTAATTCATCTCAAGTCTTAGCCTACTTCCCTCTTTCTCTCTTAAACTAAAAAGGAAAAACCTAAGTGCGTAGCTCATGAGAAAATTGGAGATCGATTCACTACATGTTGGGAGTTCAAAAGAAAATCTTTGTCCTTTGCTTTATATTAGAAAGAAAATATTTTTCTTAGTATTTATTAATGAATTTCACATTATGTACTGAAACAGTACTCCTTCGAAAATCGGAGAGATCAAAGTTAGAAGACTTCTATTTTTTTTTTTTCCGATTATAATAAATGCTTTAATTCGATTAAAACAGCTCTTCGTAGATTACCAAACCATTCGGCGCAGATTCTTTATTCTTAGGTTTACAGACCTCATTCGGCGCAGATTTTGAGGGCGTTGGGTGCAGGAAGGAGAGAACAAAGACTCTACAAAGAGTTGTCGTCACGCAGATCTAACCAGTCTTCAAGCCGGAGAAACAGAAATCATTGGGTCGGTGAGGATAACTCAAGAAATTTAGACTAGCTTGGTATGGCTCGAAATTTTATAAGATATTTAAAAATTTTTAAAATATGACATTTAGATTAGGCCAGACCGGCTTTAAAAGAGAAATGATCGGTTAAGTCCGGCCGTAAGCTTAAAAAAGACCAGGCCAACATTAGTTTGCCTCTAGCCAGCCCGTTTAACTCGACCTAAACTTGCAGCCCTAACATCCATGCTACGAGAATTAAGGATGCCTACTACGTACATAAGTAGAATCACTTTTACACACACAAAACACAAATTGAGCTAGAATCAACTTCTTTGTGCATTCTCTACACTATGCTCGGAAAATATGTCCCATTTGGTAACATTTTCAAAATAATTTTGTTTTCAATATAAAAGTAAAAATGAGATTATTTTGAAAATTATTCTTGGATTGACTTTAAAATTGTGTTTGGTCGGTTTTTTAAGATATTATTTTGAGTATAATAAAAAAGTAAAATCGTATTTGGTTATAATTATTAATTAATATATTATAACATTATTGACAAGTACTAATAAATGAAAATAGAAAAGGGAAAATAACTTTTAACCGTTTTCTAATTCTTTCACAAAAATTATTTTCACTGTCTTTTGTTTTCGTTTTCGTTTTCAAAATATTTGTTAAACAAATACAATTTGAAGACCGTTTTCATTTTCGTGTCTCAAATGTGTGTAAAAACGTTTTCAAAAATAAGTAAAATTTAATTCTAAATGCACCCTAAGGTTGTTGTTGAGATTTTTCCATTCTGTGGGGGAAAAAAAAAAAAAACTGAAATCATTAACGTTGGGGAAAAAGAACCGATAAATCATTAAAATCTTGACATCTCGACATATATAAAAGCCACAAACACCATTTCGTCCATGCTCCAACTCCTCCGCCCAACGTCTCAACTTCCTCTTTTTGCTCTGATTTCTGTTTGTTTTTCTTTTTTTTTTAACCTTTGCAATTTTAGTTGTTCTTTTTATTTTTCAACACAAATGCCCACTCGCATTTTAATATTTTCTTATAATTTACTTCTCTAAAATATTTTTTCCCGTTTACTTCTATTAAAATAATTTATTTTATATGCATTATTAATTCATTTTTTTATTATTTTTTTTTTCGTGCTAAAGGTTCATGTATGGTTTAATTCTTTTTTTAATTTCTTCATGAAAAAACTTTTTTTTCTCACTTGCTCCTATAAATCAAAATATATTTTTAAAATATATCTTTGCCTAATTCTTTTAATATCATCCTTATTATATCAAAAATAGTCCTTATAATTTTACTTTTGTAAATGACCAACTAAAACAATATTTTCTAAAACACGAATTTTTTAAATAATTTCTTTCGCGCCACCTTACAATTATTATTTTCTCATAAACACATTTTCTCTAATTATTTCAGAAAGTAACTTTTCTTAAATGTTTCTTTTTACATATTTTTTCCATCCATCCTTCTCAACTTTTACTTTTACATATGTACTGCCTAATTCATTTTATGATTTATCTGCAAAAATATTTTTCAATGCATGTTTAACTTGTCTGTATAATATTCAGTCAAAAGACATGTCTTTATTAGAATATATATATATATATATATATAACTATCTTTATACATAAATATAAGACTTAATAATCTCCATTTCGTTCCCCTTCACCTTCGTGCAGGAGTTGCCACCATCTTTTTTATTTCTTACCTTTTTCCTTCTTGTTCTGATTTCTTTTTGCTTTTTTTTTTTTTGCTTTTTGTCAATTACTATACAATTTAACTTTTCTATGTTGTGCTTGTTTGAAATACTTTTTTCACACTTTGCCTCTATTACATAATTTCTTTCCCATGTGTCCTTCACTAATTTTTTTTTTTTTTCCTCTTGCCAAAGGCTCCTCTACAATGTAACTTTTTTGGGTGTGCTTCTTTGAAATACTTCCTCACTTGCTACTATTAACATAATTTTTTCTAAATGTATCCCTACTTATTGATTTGTGTGCAATACTTACTATATCAAAAGAGATTCCTATATGATTTTGTTCCCTAGTAATTGGCTTACTAAAACAATTCTATCTCAAATGTGCCTTTTTTTTAATTAAAGTAGGATTTTCATGCAACTTTCCAATTGTTTTTTCATTCATAATTTTCTCTAATTTGTTCCTGTTGAGGTAAATTTTCAAATTCTTTTTACATCGCTTAGCTCCTACTGAAATATATATTTTGTTTCAAATGTATCCCTACTTGTGTGATGTTTATTATCAAAAGTAATCACTAGAAATACTTCTTTTTCAATTGGTGTACTAAATAAATTTGTTCTCAAAAGTGTCTCTTTTGTGCAACCCTTTCAACAATATTATTTTCTTATAAATACCTTTTCTCTAATTTATTCATTTTTCTTAAATATGTACCCATTTATTTCAACCGAATGAACAAATAGGGGAGGCAAAATAAAATTATATTCTTTGCAATTTTCACATATTTTAATTTGGATAAAATCATACTCCAACCTAACTCACCCAACTCCAAGAGTGAGACTTCTTTTCTTTTATAAAGCTAATTAAGATCCGAAATAAATTTCACATGACATGACCTGAGAATTATTTTTGGTTTCCAATCAATAGAAGAAAATTCAACCAAAAAAAAAAAAACAGAAGAAAAAGACATGACAACAAAAACAATTTATTGTAGATTAATAGAGGTAGATGGTACACAGAGTCGTGTCCAACTATGTCCACCTCAAATTGCAAATTTCATAATATCGAGTCCAGTATGCAGGACAAGTCAGTGCTGTGACATCTCCATCGTATCAAATAGGCGCTTCAGATTTTTTTTTTTAAAATAAGAGGACGTTTGATTTATGGATTGAGAATTATGATTTAAATTCATTTTTAATTTACGTGTATTTTTTATGATAGAAAATATTATAACGAGTTATGAGTCATTATTTAAATCATGGCACAAATATTTACTCCAAACGCACCCTAAGATTTTAATGCTGCCAGTGGTACTGATGAAAATTAGTTGTAACCCAACGTCAACGTCGATGGTACCAAGGTATGAATTCATTTTGTAAACGTGTAATATAGGATTTATTATCATAGAGCAATTTTAACAACCACCCTTTAAAATGGTACTACGTTAATTATTTGTTCTCAACATTCGCCGTTTGATTTTTTTTTTCTTTAGGACTAGAATTGTTAGAATATCAACGTCAACTTAAAACATATTCATGATGTTATATAATATAAATATAAAATATCTAAATCATACTTTTAGAGATTTAAAAACTGCACGTCTGACAGATTAAAACGTTCCAAACAACAATCAGAAGAGCATCGACCAACTGGTCTTTTTTACTATTCTCGTTTCAACGACCGAGTGTGAGTGGGGCACACGTCTTTCAATCTCTCTTTGGTATCTTAAACTCCTTCCAACCACAAAAGAGGCAAATGAAAAATTAATCTTGAGAATCAATCAATTTTTTCTCTAAAAAACCCTTACCAATAGCCCTCCAAAAGTCTATCAAGTGATCTAATTAATATGGGACTTACTAGGCTTTTATAGTGTTTAGAAAGGCATATTCCTGAAACAATTAGGTTTCTCAAAGCATAATTCATGTAATTAATCGCATTGAGTCAATTTGTAATGTCAGCAGTTACAATCAGTCGACCAATCACAGAGCCTTTATAAATTCACTAGCCGATCGACCGGTGACAACACGAAATCTATTAAAAAGTGACGTTCTGGTCAACCGGCCTTCGTTAGTGGTCGACAAGTACCTGTTCTGAAAACTTGTTTTCCAAGTTTGTTCAATACAGGAAACTTGCATAAAGCTTAGTTTTAATTCAAATAACTCAATGTAAAAGTTACTTGAATAAAACAATCATATAAAGCTTTCTCGTATTAAATAAAACTCAAACAATAATTCAACCAATTTATCTTGAATTAAATTAACAATTAATTTAACCGATAAATTACTCATGAATTAATTATCGATCTCACATTTGACTTTAAACTTTTTTGTGAAAATAATATAAGTTACCAATATGTAAGAAACACGTCCTATCGTTACAGGAAAATATATGAACTAACAAAGAGATTCAACGGACATATATAGTTCAAGTTATTTGTACGTTATTAATGACCGATTCAAATGGATAACTCAAATGAAGGTATTGCTATTGGTTTACGTATGCCGTATGCTTTTGTGTAGTAATTTCAAAGAGAATCTTACTAGTTTAATTAATGCGTATTGCCTTGTTGGCCATTTTATATATGATGTTATCACATTCATAGTAGTAGTTAAAGTAATGCACACATTCTTTTGTCTTTCAGGCAAACAAGACAACCCAGTTTAGGCCTAAAATAAAATAAAAATAAAAATAAAAATGAAAAACAGATAAAAGTTAGTTGTATTAGATCTGATACTGAATAAGCTGGCACAGAGGAGAGCCCGTGCATACCAATACGCGTTATGGCCGGATGGGAGGTATATTCGTAGATAAAGAGGGGCATATAATGATCCTTTTTCTCTTGATAATTATGGTGAGTAATAACCGCGCATTTATGTCATTATTTTACAGGGATTTAATCTTTGTGATTCAGAGTTTTTTGTTTTCTTTAAAATACTGATATGTGTAATATGATTTTGGTTAGTGCATAAATTCTTTTGTTTATATGACAATGATTATCATTATTTTGTAGCATATCCTATCCACTTCAGATAATAAATTTTGGTTTGTTATCTGGCGTGGCGTTTATATGATACGATACTCTCATTGGGACATCCGACAATAGTGTCGTGAGGTTTTCTTTTTTCTTCTTGTTTTCTTGTTTCTTGTTTATTGGTAAAGTTTTGTATTATATTGGTTCTTACGTTTTTGTAATTTTCTTTGATTTGCATTGTTTTGTGTTTATATGAATATGATATTGCCATTACACTTTTCATTAGTATATATCTTACTCAATCCACTTAAGATGATTACAATATTGTTGAGCTGTTGAATGTATATGTAGTTGGTTTTATATGAAAAGGACATTGTCATTAGTTTATCTTAAATTCAATCCGTAACTATTATTATTGTCGAAGAGTAATAAACTTATGATGTTCCTTTGGGACCAGCAACTGGACATATGGGCACTAATTAACATTAGTGGTAAAAGATTAAACTGAACATTGATGAAACTGATCCATAACAAAGATCAGTCAAAGCGAAGCATTGATCAATTCGTTAAGAACTGTGTTTGGATCTTGTGAGCTTTGAACTGTTGTCAAAAGGATTCGAAATATAAGAGTAGAGATGTCAATCATGTCTTGCCGTGCTGCTCAATTTATAATTGGCTATGCCTATGCGTATTTCTTGTCTTGCTCGGTCTGATCTACTAAATTGCGTGTCATGATCATGCCGACTCAAGAATGAAAACCATAAGCCTGGCCTGGCCAATAAGCCTAATTGACATCTCTACGCATGAGACCCAAAAGCTTAGACATAATTACAAACCTTCTATTTGACGATTCTTGTTATTATCATTTGTCAAGATTAATGTAACAAATAATCATCACTAATATAATGACAAGCATTCTCCACAACAAAATATTCGTACTAGAGATCTTTAATTTTATTGGACGTTGTGCATCGTCTATAATAATACCAAAAAAAAAAAAAAAACACTCAGATCTTATCCATTTATGTAACTTCGTCTCTTGATTACTAGACGGTCAAATAGGAGGAGGAAAACCAAAGTATTCATTAGGATATATAGAAGGTGAAAGGTCAGTGACTGAATCCGAATGATTCATGTGAGACATTAAATTCGTAAGTCGAAATACGATTAAGATTCCAAACATAATTGTACGAATTTAGGATTTATTTATAATATATCAAGTATGTTTTGTTGATTTAGACAACTATTATGGGCAATTTTATTTTCTATTTATATGAATTAATATTCATAGTATGTTTCTGTTTGAGTCACATGGAGCTTAACATCATTTGGTGATAATAATTTTCGTTCTATAGATGAACAAAAATGAATGATTATGCTTTGTTCTTAGTTGTGGTTTTAATAAAATCGGAATGTATATATATTGTTTTTCAAGAAAAAAAAAAAGAGATTGGTAGGTCAATTTTATTTTTATATGTTCCAGGATTAAATATATAAATAAACTAAAGTGAAGCGATGATGCATTTTGGGCTAAGGTTTAATTTTAAAAAAAAAAAACAATATATAAAATAGAGAGGGGTCCAAGTGCAAGTTATTAGAGAAGTCCAAAATAGTTGAGTGGCAAATTTATAATTAAAATATGATGAGAGCCAAAAAAGAGAGAAAGAAAACGTATGTTTTCTTCTCTTCTGCCCTAGGTCAGACAGAGTTTTGAGACTGAAATTTCCCACTCCTATACACTTCCTTCATGCAGCTCGCCCTCTCTCTTCTCTCATCTTCTTAAATTTACTTTCTCTCCCTCTCTCTCCCACATCAGAAACCCTAACCTTCTTTTCTCCTCTCTAATCCCTTAGGGTTTATTTAGTATGAGAGTTTAAATAAGAGTGATTTTAGTTTTGATTTTTAAACCAGAACCATAATTCATAATTTTGAGTCCAAATCATAATTCTGAGACCAGAACTAGAATCAAGAGTTTGAACCACCCAAAATCAAGGGGGGTAGTTTTAAAATTAAGAGTGATTCATAGTTTAAAACATCACATCAGAGTTCAAACCTTAAATCAGAACCATCATAACAAAACAATGATTTTGAGTGAGTCAAATCATAACCATTTTTTATTTTTTGTAAATAAACACTGGTTCTGAACCAGAATCATGGTTCCGAGTTTAGAACTCTTACACCAAACAACACTTCAAAAACTCAAATTCCATAATTAGGATTCGGGCTCAAGAAAAATCCCTCAAAACCCATTAAAACTCAAGGTTTTGAAATCTTGAAGCCAAAAGTCTATACAAACAAAGGTATACTTTTGACCATGTTTGGACTCCTCAATTTGAGATTTTAGAGGTCTTTTATATGGTTCTTGGTGGTAATTCGAGTTTGATATTTTCATTAAGCGCTTCTTTTGTTGTGTAATCTTCTTAAGGAATGGTTATGGTTGGGTTTCACATTTTTATCTTGTTTCACATTTTAGTACTATGAATAAGCTTTCTACTGAGTAGAGAATGTTTGGTAAAAGAATTCGTTCCCTGATTCGAATCATGATTCGTGAGTCGCTACAGTATTTTCTCTCACAAAAAATACACGTAAATCGAAAATAATTCGAATCACATAGTTTAAATTCTCCAACTAAACGTAAAATTTTATCTAAATTTTTAAAAATCACTATGTTGCTGGAATCTTTCTAATTTTCTATCTGACCTGTCGATATACTTCTTTTAGAAAATTATTAGCTTTGAATTTAGTAAAAATAATTTTTATGCATGACTAGACTTGTTGAGGGTCATGTAGAATTTTAAATCACTCAAAAAGCACTTGTTAAAACACTTGTTAAGGGTCATGATTTGAACCAAACTTAAAAAGTTCACCAAATATTGGTTTAAAACACTTATTAAACAAATGGCAAACCATCAGTACTCAAAAATGTATACATGCAAAAAAAAAAGTAAGGAAAAGTTAATGAGATGTTTGGTTCATGAGTTTAAAATCATAATTCATGATTCTAATTTTTGAAATTCAAATTTTTTATAAAAAAAAAAAACACTATAAAAAATCAAGAACCATAATTCAAAACTAAGAACGAACCCTTGAAACAAACGTCTCATAAATGACTCAAGCCTATAAAAGTAATCCTCAAGGCTCAACGCATTGAGAACAAAACCACCAATAATTATGAGCTTAAACCGTCTGAAAACTACTTTCTTTTATGGGATTTTTTTTTTTTAAAGCTCCAGCTTCGCCTTTTAGAAGCATGATAATGCTTTGCATAGTTTTGTGGGTTCTCAATGAACCACTTCCATCCATCACCCACACCAACAAAAATAAATAAACGTAAAAAACACCCTTTTATCATATATGCAGTGCAACGACAATTCTAAACAGATGACTGAAGTCCAATAATACCTGCAGAAAATATCAACGTCACAAAAAGTGAGGGTAATGTTTCAGAAATCGGCAAATGGAAAAGGCAAAAAAAAAAAAATTGCTCGCTTAAAAACCCCCAAATTTGCTTAATTTCATTCATCAACTTATATATGATTAAAATATACGACCCCGAAATGTCGCACCAATATATGGTCTTTTTGTTATACCATTCACCTAGACGTGAAAGTTTGGGCTGCCCAGCCCAGCCGGAATGAAAATTTTGGGCCGGCCCAACCCAGCCTTAAAAGGTGGAGGGTTGGCCCCATCCACCCTAAAGCCCGACCGGCCTAATGCTGGCCCAGAACTTTATATGGTATATTCAGAAAACTTTAGGCTGGCCGAGCCCGAATAAGCTTCGAGGCTCAACACCTCTGTCTAGCCCGGCCTGGAGGTTCGGGCAGGGCCTGATCCAACAGTAACGAGTCGCAACGAGTCGCAAGCCGGCCTGTTTAGCCCAGGCCAAACTTGCAGCTCTACATTCACCAAATATTAATAACCCAAAAAAGAGATTAAAAAACAAAATCCTCAAAACACCAAAAGAAATAAAGAAGAAAAGTACCACATCCAACTCTTGCTCCTGCATTGCCAGTAGACTTGCTGAGTTCATGTCCACCTATGAATTAGTCTTCATATTAGCTTATAAACAATTAGAAAAGTAATTTCACATGAGTAAGACCATCTCCGATACAAATACTAATTGAATGCTATATTTTCACTAAAAAGTGTGAAAATAGCATATTTGATGTGTTATTCTATTTTGTGCTCCCATACCTAATGCTATTTCAAATGTCATTACTTTTTATCATGATTATTGAGCTTTGAAACTTGTAAAAGTTGACTTTAATATCAAAATAATTTCAAAAGAACAAAATTGTATTGATCAAATGAAAAAGTTAATATATCAACCATAACAGTCATATGTCAAATTTGGCATTTGCTTTGTGGAAAATTTACCCCAAAGTATAGCATTTGCCAAATTTATCATAGAAAATAGCATTGTATCAATGAGTGACTTTCACTCAAATGTCAAAATTTGGCATCTACACATACACTTTGACATTGCATTGGGGATGCTCTAATTCTCTACAAATGTGGGCTCAAAATTCAGAATATATACCTGGCTTAGAAATATTTGACAAATTTTTTAGTTCATCTACCTCTGGTGAAAATAGAAGAAATAAATTTATGATACGGGGATGTACGTGAGATTTCTCACTTCGTGAGTTCCAAACTTAGATTCGCAGGAATTGAGAGAAGGAATCAAAAACTTAAATTCCTACTGACAAATAAGTGAAAAGGTTTTCAACGAAAAGGTTTTCAACAAGATACAAAGTCAACTACAATAAACATCCCTCAACTTTGGTGAATAAGTAACCCTAACAACGAGTTAAATGTATCAAAATATTGAACCAACCACATTTAACTTGGAACGTTTCTACTCCGATCACAATTATCTTTTTGACACCAACCATCACACTGACTACAACTTTTATGATTTAATCTCTCTTCACAGAGAGGGAGATAACTCAAGCTTTTCGCCTGCATTTTCTTGCTTAGTCTTATAGAAAGATACCAAAATAAAGCTCGGATTAGACTGACTGACTTTGTCAAAGAAAGATACCAAAATCAAGCCTTTAAGGGTTTTCCTTTCTCTTTGGTTGTTTTGAATTGGAAAGATGTGATTGGTTTCTAATTTACGGCCCTGTTAGGCTTTTTCTTTATTTTTATTTTTGTTTCTTTACTGCTTTGTTAGTGAGGATAATTTATCCTCCTCTCTTGTATTAGACTTAAAATTGTTGTCTAATTAAAAAAAAAAAAAAAAAAAAAAAATTACATAAAGCTTTGTTCAGTAAAGATAAGTTTTGTTTTGTTACACGCAACTCTCTTTGACCCCACCTTTGGTTATTCTCACACCACGAAAGGGGCCCTATTGTAAACATTCCTCCTGATTTAGATGCAAAAAAACCTCGTCATCATTGCCAAACAATTGCATATCATAATAGATCTAGGTTCAATCAAATTACCCATCAAGTGATGTGAAACTGAAGCCAATTTCTCAAACAAAATTCACAGAATTAAATATCTCATTCCTCTAAGGGGCGTTCATAGGATCCAATCAACTAATCAAACTGACCGGCCCAATCCAATCCATTAAATTTTTGACGAAAATACCGACCTCAATGGGATTAGATTGGCTGTGAGTTCTTAAAAACCGATTTTGATTGGATTGAATGTTAATTTTACTGTCAAAAAACTGATCCAAACCTACCCAATGTTGATATATTATAAAAAAAAAAGTAAAAAAAAATTATTTATAGCTATATTATTGGTCCAAAACTTAAAATCTATTTTTTTCCCATACACCTTCACACACACAATCAAAAATTCATAATGAAAACCTATGTTTTAGATTATGTTTTCTTTCTATGTTTTTTTTTTCTCTCAACTCTTTATGCAACAATCTGGAATTGGCATCCCACTTTGAATCCATTTGAACTTCATTTTTTGTCTCCATGCAATTGACTCTACGCAAATCATCTTCCTTATCTTTTAACACTGCCCTCACCATTCTATCAGCATCATCCAAACTTTCTCTTTCTTCTCCTCTGTCCATAGCCTCTATCCTCGAAAATAACTCACTTTCACCAACCTAGTGTCCACAAACGCTTCTTATTACACACTAATTTTCCTCTTTACAAGCTTCGATCTGTCCTTAAGTCTAAATCCTTCCAAACCTGCCCTTACCTCCATTTTCCACCAATCCTTCAAAGATGTCTCAAAACCTCAATGGCGTTACACACCATCAAACTGGATTTGCACCCAAAATGAGTGGACAATGGTCCGAACATGCCCTCATGCCAACCTCATGCCTAAGCTCACGTATCATAGCCTCCCACGCCAGAGAGGACAAACATCTATCAATATGGTCGCTCACTTTTCTTTCACAAAAATCAGACCAAGTGAACTGTGCATTTGCTTGAGTCGAATCCCTCAATTCGAATCGTCTAATCATCCATCAAACACCCTCATGCTTCTTGTGACTATATTATTTGGAGCCCTTTCATGACCAAACCTAGTCACATTGAAATCTCCTACTACACACCAGTTTGTGCCAGAAATCACATGTAACCCTGATAGTTCCTCCCAAAAGTCAGATCTGTTCCTACCTACATTAGGTCCATAAAAACCCAGATTCAATTCTAATGGAGACCGAGAACTTTCCTATAAAGCAATTGACCATCGTAACCACTCTAGAGTCCCAAATTACCACTAACCACCACAACAGCCTGTTAAAAGTCATCACCGACTCTAAGCAGTCTAGTAACATCTAGAATCGCCGCCCATTTTCTCAAGTTATCAATGACGTCTATCATATTCTAGAATTATCTTCTAGTTGCTGCAAATTAGAAGCTTCGGGAACACTTGAAAATCGGTAAAATTGCCGACATACTAGAAGACTCTAGCTTAGGCGAATTGGTTATATTAACCAACTTAAATGGTCTATAAATATGGCCTTGGATACTCGGTGGTAGAGTGCACAAATACAGCAAGTATGTCTAAGTTTTGTGTGTGTAATTAGTTAGTGAGCGCATGTGCTTGTAAGTGCAGTGGTATTGTAAGCATTAAATAGTATGGTGTGTGAGTGAGTTCTTAAGTTTAGTGGTCTTAGATCTGAGCAGTGTTTTGCATGTTGTTGCAATTACTTTTTGACATAAAAAAAATAATAATAAAAAGTAATTACACATTTGGGTTGTAGTGTTTAACACAGCCCCTTGAAAGCAAAGCCACCCATTCCCCTTGCCTCAAATTCGACAAACTCACTAAACTTTCCCCAGCAAACTCTTTTTTTGTTTCTTGCAAATTTACAATTTATGGGTTAATTATACATAAAGCTCTTTACTAACACTCCTTGCAAAACACAGCCCCCTTATTTTCTTCGAAAGCATCTTCATTGGATAATTGTGCCCCTGAAACCTCTGATTTTTTGGGCCTTAATAATGATATTGCTAAAGACTTCCCAATTCCCTCAACCCTCTTTTTATTTTTATTTTTTTTGTTAAATAAGAATATTGAGTGTCCTAATCTATTTATTCTTCAAAATAGTTAAGAAAATACCCCAAAAGGTATCAAGCATTGTAATACCAAACTGGACCATAAGTTCCAAAAGCATTATGTACGTATTTTCTGTAACCAAATTAATAATATTACCTCTTCCAAGATCATCAGGATCAGCATGCACAACAACTGCTCTCCCAAGAATTGAATGAGGCCCACTTAAAGGAATCTAGAAATTAAAGGAAAAAAAGAAACAGAACATGGAAAAATTAGAAACATTCAAACCAAAACTGACAACATAACAGTTTCAAATCTTACCATAGATCCTGTTGTATTAAGAGTCAATACTTATACTATACAATCTCAAAAATAAATAAATAAATAAAAGATTAACAAAAGATTCAACAGTGAAATAGTTTTAGGCTTTTAGTGAATAATCATTTCCATTACCTGCCAATCCTTTATCGAAACCTCAGCAACTCCTGAAAGAGTAAATTCAACATTACATAAAGCATCACAATTTGACAATTTCAATCATATAAAATCTAAGAAAGTGAATCACATTGCTGCACCGAAACTTTTCGTTTTTCGCATTATACACCCCAGACATTTATTTTGACAAATTGCACCGTGAACTTTCAAATCAGTAGCAATTGAAGTTCAATAGCTGACAGGTATTATTTAATTGATGGTTCGAGATACGAGATTTGCACTTCGCCTAGTTTGAAAAATGACAGGCTTTGCCACAAGCAAACCTCGTGTCTTAAACCGTAATTTGATTACGCTCATCAACTACTCGACAACCATAAAAATTAAAACATGTATATAACAATTTGATAGTTTTAATCATATAAAATCTTTTGTGCATAAAAAATATATATATTAAAACAAAATCTTACATACTAATTTTAATCATATAAAATCTTTTGTACATTAAAAATATATATATTATAAAAAAATCTTACATACCATCTGGGCCAGCAAGGATGTTACCCAAATCGCCGGCGTGACGCTCCTTATCAGCGGGAGCTCCATGGTCCTTCTTCAATGGATTAAAATGAGGTCCCATTAAAAATAAAAAATAAAAAATAAAAAAACCCATCAGAGAAATTAAAAGTAAAGTTTAAAACTAATAAAGAATTGCATAGAAATTGAAAATCTTAATACTTAGAGAGAGAAAGAGTCGAGAGAGAGAGAGAGAGAGAGAGAGAGAGAGTACCAGTGGAGTTGCAACCATTGGTAGTATCACCAAGGGCATGAATATGGAACCCGTGAAGGCCTGGAGAGAGACCTGTTATCCTTCCTTTCACATGGGTAGGCCCTGTTTATTAACCATATTATTAACCATTAAAACCAAAATTAAATTAATTTTTTTTAAAAAAAGAAAAAAAAACAAGAGAGAGAGAGAGAGAAACCATTGGGATCCCGGACGAAGTGAAGAGAGCCTCTGATGCTGTTCTCTCCAGTGATGAGAACCACCGCTTTCAAACTACTCATTTTTGGACCAACTGGTTCTACTCCCAACAAACTCCACTTTTTCTCCTCTTGTTTTTTATTAATTTTTTTTATCTTTTTTAAAAAAAATGCAAAATGGAAATAAATCAATTATTATTTACTCAAAAGAGTTTTTTTATTATTTTTATTATTTTTTATGAGTGGCAGCTTTATGTAATTCAATTAATTCAGAAGGAGCCAAACAAATAAATATTCTAGCAATAAATTCCAAAATTAACAAATAAATAACATTAATAACAAAACAAAAAACAAAATGAGGAAGTAATCGATCAAAGTTTTCGAACGTCAAATTCAACAATTACAATCTAACACAAAATTATTATATACAATACAAGGGGACAGATTTTTCCCCAACTTTTTCCCCCAAAATGGGAAAAGTTTACAAATGCGCAAAATCAACATGCACATATGAATATATATATATATATATATATAGAGAGAGAGAGAGAGAGAGAGAGATCAATCGGAACGGGACGCGGAGAGAGAAGGAAAGCAGAGGAAAGAAAAGAGGCGCCGGAGAAAACGGAGAGGGAAGAAGAAGAGGAGGTGAAGGAGTTGGTGAGTAGTGAAATGCTCTGGATTGCATGATATGTATTGCCATACATTTGCTGATGCGTTTGCTACCGCCAATACTACCTGGCTGTTCAACACCATCTCTCTCTCTCTCTCTCTCTCTCTCTCTCTCTCTCTCTCTCTCTCCTGATTTTCTCTTTGTGAATTTGGGTTGTTTTGGGAAGGAGGAAAAGGAAAAGGAAAAGGATTTTCCTTTGCTTAACCGAAAAGGGAAAAACAAAACGGTGTCGTTTACATTGATGCTCTCATAAAAATACTATCCAAAGTTTTGATAAAGTTATTTCATCTTTTTTTCACTATTATGTTATAGTGTTTTAATTTTTTTTTCTTTACTTTTTTTTATCTTCTTTTTGAAAAATATTAGCATCACTAATTTTCCAACTTTTTTTTATCACTTTTTACATGTAATATTTGACGTGTTGACTCTATTAACATAATATATTATTATTTAAACAGAAAATGAGTATTTCACATGTCAAGCAGTGAATGCAGAAAGTAACAGAAAGAGTAATGCTAGCAGTTCTCTTTTTTTTTTTTATCTTTCCTTGTTAAAAACTTTGAGAGCAAGACTCGCCATTGATACTGTGCATCTAGGATACAAAATGTTGTTTTGGGCCTGTCTTTCGGATCGATTCTCAGTTGCCAAAATGCTCATTTGAGATCAAACTTTGAGAAGATTTGGGCTTCTTTCAGGTGAGTGAATAGGGAGCTGGTTCTAGGAATAGGGAACTTGTCATCCTTCAGGAACAGGTTCAAAGGCTTATAGTCAATCACGAGCCATTTCTTTCCACGGACCTATTCTGATCTTTTTCTACATAGAAAGCTTGGCAAGCCCAATCTGATTTTGTGGGCTCGATCAATCCTTACTTGAGAAGCTAGGCACATTCTTCTCGGGTTAAGGCTAGATCTGACGGAGTCATTCTTGGATGAGTGGCCTTGGTTGGATTGATGTCTTCATTCTTCTTGAAAGGCAGCTGGATGAAGAACTTCTGATTTTTCCATAAATGGCTGGGATGCTGAAACTGATCATGGCTATTAGCACGACATTTCAGAAGCTTATCTTTGATATCTTCATAGCCAGTTGAAGCTTCCTTGATTGAGAACATTTTTGGAATGGTAGAGCAAGGCTTGAATTGTCTTTTGTACTTCAACCTTGTAGGGAGGATTTGAAGTCTCTTTGCTTGGTAGTACACATCCATTCCCCAAACACCATGGATACTCCTACCCAGTCTTTAGAACCAGCTAGATTATCCTCATCAGTTACTATTCCTAGTTCCTGTAAAAGATCCCTTTCCTCCAAGATATAAAATCTAGTAGAATACTCTTACATCCCTGAAACGGCCATAGTAGAAGAGTTTGTCCCTCCTTTGCTAAGTCCGTACAATGTTTTCAAAAGACATCGACGTACTATTTGATAACTCATCTCTAACACCAGACCCACCGTCAAAGAATATGTCCAGTCCTCTAGGCTTGATAAGTGTCTTATTCCCAGTACCTCTCAGGAACAATATATTGATCTCAAGCCAATTTTTGACAGTTTAATTTGGTCAAAACCAAATCAGATTAAAAAGTTTATAGAACAAACAATTTTTTATCTAGATCAAATGGTTGAGAGTATGAAGCTGTCGGTATTTTTTTTTCGTTTGTCCTATCAGATAAGCTCCTAAAACTATCCACGTCTCTGACGGTTGACTGGTTCTCACAAAAAATGGTCAGTTGTTCTTCCCTATGCATGGTCGTCACCCCGATGGAGTTTTGGTGTCAGTTTCTAACACCACCCACACCATCAGATAGTTATCAGTGAGCTGAGTTCGTTGATGTGCTATGCAACCTCCACCTTTCCCGAAAACCACCGCAATCGCTGGCAAAAGTTCTGAAAAGTAATAAGACTTCCAATTGCGATATCTCTATCATCCGACCTTCGATCGAGGTGATTCTGGTTCCCATGGACCTAGAATGACGAGATAAAGAAATCTCATCCATTTTTCCTGTCTGATTTTCACTGGAGCGCCATTGTCTTAGGTGGCCTAAGTTATCGTCGCCGCCATTGTTGGAGTTTTCTTTTCTAGGCATCGATTTTTGACACTACCCATATTATCAAAAACATCTTGATGAGCTAGGTTTATTGACATGTTGTGCGACCTCCACCTTGGCCAGAAACCACCATAATCAGTGGCAAAAATTTTGGAAAGCAATAAAACTTCTGACTGCGATGTCTCTATTGTTCGATCTCCGATTGAGGTGATTCTAGTTCCTATGGACCCAAAGTGACGAGACGAAGAAAACTCATCCATTTTTCCCATTCGATTTCCATCGATGTGCCACCGTCTAAGGTAGTTGGAGTTGTCGCCGCCGCCTTCGTTGGAGTTCGCATTTTTATGACGGTAAGGGTCACCGTCGGTTTGGTTGGATTTAGATGGTGAAGAAGAACCTACCTCGATCAGTTGCTGCCAATTTCAACGTAGTGGTGGGGTGGTGGTGGCTAGGGTTTTGTTCAGTGTAAGTGGGTTTTTTTTTTTTTTTATCTAATATTGTTTTTGAATAAATGCAGAAAAAATCATGTGTGTAAGGCTTTATTCTTATATGGTATCTTTCATCATTTTTTATCTTTAGATGAGGGTCACAATTTTTATCTTACGGTAGAATAAAATACACCCTCTACTGTAGAATTTTTCATGCTATTTACTTAAAGAAAAATCCATTTCTAAAATATAAATTTGTCCCATAATTCTTGTTTTAGATAATCTACAATACAAATGTAAATGTCAATTGTATGTTTAACATCAAAAAGTAAGATATGTCATGTTATTTTTATTTTTACTCTAATGCACAATGCTATTTAAAATGTTAAATCTATTTTTTTTCCATAATTATTAAGTTTTGAAAGTTATAAATGCAAACTTTTATATTTAAAATAATAAAAAATGCAAAAGTTGCAATATTACATGAAAAACTAAACATTTCAATTGATAGCAATCGAATGTCAAATATCTCATACGCTATATTTTGTGAGAAATTTGTCACAATTATAGCATATGAGAAATTTGACATAACAAATAAGACCATCTACAATGTAAATGCTAATACCAATTGTTTATTTAACATAAAAAATTATAATATAGTATGTTATTTTCTTTATTTTTTCGATACATAATTCTATTTGAAATGCTATATCTACATTTTTTAATAATCATTAGCTTTGAAAGTTGTAAAAGTGAACATTTATTTTAAAATAATTAGAAAATATGATTACATATAAAAGTTAACATTTCAACAATAACAATCGAATGTTAAATTTTTCATATGTTATATTTTGTGAAAAATTTATCACAAAGTATAACATATAAGAAATTTAGCACAACAAATAACATTACATTAGAGAGTATTTTTTGTCCTCATATGATAAATTTAAATTGATATATTAATTATAGCATTACATTAGAGAATTTTTTTTATACTTGAATGTTAAATTTACAATTTAAATATCAATTATAACATTATATTAAAAATGTTTTAATATTACATTAATTTTTTTACACTTAAATATTAAATTTATAATTTAAATATCAATTATAATATTACATTCCAGTTACTCTTAGATAAAAAAAAGTTTTGCTATTAAAAAAGCCTATGAACCAAACGGGCAGGTATATCACGCTCATAAAAAATGAAAAATTTACCTTTAAAAATGTATAAATTTAAAACTTTACCATGTAACTATTTAACTAAAAAAAATTATAAATTAAGAGTAATATTTGTCAACGTTACCCTCCGCTGATTGAACGTGCTAACCGGCCGATGCCAACTCAGTTTATATCCCTATTTCCCTTTCATACAGATGCCACGGCAATACGGCACCCAGCAGCAGCCTTATGCCAAGGCGGCCTAGTAGTTCTACTCAAACCACTCCCACAGACGACCACTCGCTGCTTTGCTACTCCTCCCAACACCAACATCCACACCATATCTATGGAGATCGGCGGCTTAGACTCCGACGGCCGCCAGTTCAAGAGCGCCTCGGAGATGTGGAGCGACCAAGTCGGAGATCCCACCAAGAAGACCGATTGGTACCGCCAAGGCGTCGGCTATTGGGAGGTTCTCTGTTTTCCTTTCTTTTGTTTTTGTGTGTGTGTGTGTGTCTATCTACACACACACTTGCGTGTAAGGTGTTTGATGATTTGTGTGTGTGAAGGCCGTGGAGGCGTCGGTGGATGGAGTTCTGGGAGGATATGGGCATGTGAACGAGGCCGACATTAAGGACAGTGAAGCTTTTCTCAATCTTCTTCTTGAAGTGCGTATCCCTAGAGCTTCTTCTGCAACTCCAAACCAACGTCATCTTGTTGCTCTTGGTAAACATTCATTCTACTTAACCTCACTACCTACCTTGAGTTATTGGCGAGCCCGTATACACTAAGATTCTTAAATAGGAATTCATTTGAGAATAATTATTTTAAGAGGAGCAGATATGGATGAATCCTGTGAATGCTTCAATTATAATAACTAATAATTAAAAAAATAATAATAACTGGTGGAACTTGTAAGACTTGGATTATGAGCATGCCTAAGTGAAACCACTGGTTTGTTTCTTTTCTTCTCTTCCTTTTTTTTCCTGATATAAACTAGTACTCGTCTCCTTAAAAGCTCTTTAAAAAGACCATTCATTAATTTTAAAAAAACTTATTCAAGAATTCAAGATAAACCAAATTAACTTCATGAAGAGATGCTGTTGTAGGGATAAATCCCGCGCTCCACGTCAGCCACTAGATAGATCGCCACGTGGCACAGCTGGATAATTAATGACCATGCCAGCTGTGCACGAAGTATCTCGTTATTCTCTGGACGCCGACAATAGATACCGACTCTCAATTGGAAATGGAGCCCCTAAGAGGACGGCCGTACTGAGGAGGATATAGGAGTACAAAGTCGACCGCACTATCATCTGAAGACGGAGGCCGCTTCAAAGGACACTCAAGCGCCGATTCTATCCACGTCTACAAAGATGTGACAGCTGTTCAGAGATTTAACAGACATTTAATGCATGCAGAGTTAGTGGTAAAGCCGGTAGGAAAATCAGGCACTGACCAAAATCTCAGTAATCAGAGGTTGTTGTTCCGAGAGTTTTGGTAAAGATATCTCGGAATTTGATTAGGAATTTGACAGGGACAATATGATGTATAAATATGAGGAGAATGACCCAGAATGGGGGTTCTGAATTCTGCTCTCTCACTTTGTAATATCTTCCTCAAGAACTTAGTGAAACTCTCTCTCTCTCAATGGATGTAGCTCCAGAGTTTGGGGTGAACCACTATAAAAATTCCTGTGTTGATCTTCTCTTTATCTTCATTAATCACGTTTTTACCTGCTAATTTCACACACAAACCACCTAAAATTTGTTATTAATCTGTTAACAAATTTTTACCGTCAATAGATGCTTTGGCAATTATGTATCTCAAATTATCTTCTATGTTTAGTAATAGCTCTGGGAGAACGCATTTTAAATGTTCTCTGATGTTGTTATTATTTAGGCTCCTTTTGGTTCCTATACTTGAACCCATAATTTTAATTCTATTGTAGTGTTTTTTCATCTCACAAAGAATTTGAATTCGAAAATTTCTTCTCTCACAAAATTCCTGCCAATGAATCAAAATCACTGACTTGAACGCGTGAACCAAATGGATCCTTAGCTTCTTGTTTTCGTGTCTTGTAGAGTTTTGAGTTGAACATATTATAAATCTCATAAAATGCTTCTAATTTTATTTTGAGCATTTATTATGTTGTATTTTGATTGCAAAGATACTGTTGCAGATTGTGGTTCTGGAATTGGGAGAATCACAAAAAATCTTCTAATAAGGTACTTCAGTGAGGTATGTTCAGTTTCTCTGCCCTTCCTTACATCCTTGCAATCTTCATGCATTGTTTCCCTGGCGCTGCCTTTAAAGTTGATAATAAGAATTTTCTTTTTACTCAACTTATCTGGTACGTTTATTGTGCATTTTGGTGAATAGGATATCTTAGGTCATAGCCAAATTAGTAGGTTTTCTAAATACTGCTCTAGCGTGATGAATATTTTTTGGTCCTAGTAAAGGTATGTGGAATTTTTACTTGAGCTGCTCTAAGACCTGACCATTTTACTATCTGCAGATGACAAGTTATTCTGAGTGCAAACCAAATTCATTTGTAAAATTAATTTGAAATTATATTTTCCGGAAATACATTCTTCATGCATTTTAGATTTATTTTTGTTTATCTTCACAAATCAGGTCTTAGTTTCTCATGTTGTAGCTCTAAACTTTCATCCCTTTTTTCTATAACTTAGGCTTTTTTTTTTTTTGGGGTGGGGGTGAAAAAGTTTACCCAGTTTCACGTCAATCTTCAATAGAAGTAGGTAATCGTTTGTGTTTTTTTAACTATTTATTAGATGCTATTTCTATTAAATTAATAAAGCTCAAAGTAGGATCAATTTTAAATGTGGAGAATGATACGACCAACTAATTGGAATTGGAAAATAAATGACAAAACTAGCTAATGGGAATTGGAGAATAAGTAACAGGACCAAATAACGAAATTAATGAATTAAAATTAAATAAATGAAAATAGTATGTACCAGTTCATAGAACTAGAGTAATAGAAATTGGACAGAAAGTAAATTGCATAAAATTTAAAGTACTAAAATAAAGAGTAAAGAAATAAAAGCTAAAGAAAACAAACATAAATTAGATTAAGAGTAATTTTATTAGAGAATTTTATATTTCCATTGTACATAACTACAACGATCATTGTTGAAGTTAAGGATTTACAGCTTAATAGCTCTTAGACTTAGTTCTTGACCTTGCTTAATTTCATGTTGATTCTTTGGTTGTTTAAGAAAAGATAGAGAAGTGAGGTGATAGGTGGAATTAGGACTTAGAGGATTGGAACAATAGTTTTCAAAGAGTGAATGAATTACTAAAGCTTGTCTGTGGTTTTGGCCAAGTAGGTTGGTATTAAGCTACAAAGTACAAATCCCATACTTCAATTATGTTTGTGGTATCATATGTACACTTAAAATATAAAGTTCTCTAATAAAATTACTTATAATCCAATTTCTGTTTGTTAATTTATCTTTCATTTCTTTGCTTTATTTCTGCATTTTTACATTATGCAACTTACTTCATGTCATTTTATTTCTATTATTTTCCACTTCCGGAAACTGAACCATGCTTTATTTCCATTTATTTGGTTTTGGTTGATTAATCTAATTACCTAGTCCTGTTATTTATTTTCTAATAAATCCAATTATTTGGTCCTGTTATTTACTTTCAAATAACTTAGTTACCTGGTCCTATTGTTCAATTTCTTTTTTAGTTATTTTCCAAAAAAAAAAAAAAAAAAAAAAAAAAAAAAAAATTCCTTCCTTCCTTATTTTGGTTAGCTGGTCCTGTTAATTATTCTCTAGTCTTTCAAACGGGTCCTTTATTTTTATGTACTCTTACTTATGTTGAGCATATTACATTTAGGGGACATGTTTCGCGGTAAACTTTGTGTTATTGTTAAAATTAAGAAGCTAAAAAAGAAAGTTGGTTTTAAAAACTGCAAACCAAGATTGTCAACAAAGAAGAGCAGCAATTAGAGGATTAAAAATGACATTAGCTTAGGAAAATAAGGTGTCAAAAACTTCTTATCTGCTAGACAACAAGATAACAAAGTGTGAAGAGCTTGCTACTTGTTAGACATCAAGAAAACAGGAGTCAAAAAACCTTCTGCCACTTCGACTACAGTGAAAACAAGAAGCCACTGCAAGCACTAGTCTCAGAAAACCACCTTAGATTCCAATGGGTTTGTTTTGGATAATCTTACAGGAGAAGTCTATAAATACCAGCCTACTTAGCCATTTTAGGGGAGGAAAAACACAGACAAGCCTTAGCAATACAACCACTCTCTAGTATTAAACAAGGTCAAGAAATTAGTCTAAGAGCTATTGAGCTACATACCGAAACTTCAATTATGTTTGTGGTATTATATATAGACTGAAAGTATAAAGTTCTCCAATAAAATTACTCAATCTAATTTCTGTTTGTTTTTTTAGCTTTTATTTCTTCATTCTTTCTCTTAGCACTTTACATATTCTGCAATTTACTTTTCATCTATTTAATTTCTATTGGCCTCCAATTCTACAAATTGGTCTATACTTTATTTTCCTTTATTTAATTTCAATTAATTATTCCAGTTACGTGCCCTATCATTTATTTTCTAATTCTAGTTGGTCTTGTCATTTATTTTCCAATTCCATTTAGCTGTTCCTGTCAATCATTCTCTAGTTTTTCAAATTGATCCATTTACTTTTTTGCATTTTCTACTTTATTTATCTAATATACTAATCTTTTGTGCTTATCATTTTATTAGTATCCAAAAAGACAGTTGAAAATTTAGCACACAAAATAGAACCGTGTACCAAATATGCCATCTTTTTTTGGTGCAAAATATAGCACCGGCAATTTCCTTAAAGATGGCCTTAGGTGTAAATTGGAATAAAGATGATCTCATGTTGCGTCCTTCTCTTGTGAGTTATGTTTGAGCTTGTTTACTTTCTTTGTCAAGGGATTGCATCAAGAAATTTATCTTGGACTCTTTTGTTACTTTTATTTTTTATTTTTTACTTTGAAAACATTTTGTATTTGGAGACCAGGTTGACCTCCTTGAGCCTGTATCCCATTTCTTAGAGACCGCCCGTGAAAGCTTGGCTTCTGAGAATCATATGGCATCAGATATGAATAAAGCCAGCAACTTTTTCTGTGTGCCTCTGCAGGTAACTTTGTTTGAAGGATTATCTTTAGAGTGAAGACTGATGGTTTTTCGATTAAGTTTGCTTATGAAAAAGTAGTTTCGGTGATCCTATGTAAGATGCGCACTACTATTTAAATAAATTATGCGTTAAGAAAGTTTTTGCTAGAAAAGCTAACTGTGTAAGTGGTTTTAAGACGCATAGATTAAGCTACTATTGTGTGATTATAATGTGCATATAGTAGTAACATTGTTGTCAGTAACTACTTGAAGTATTTTACTTTCAAATAAATTAAAGTAAATGTCAAAATATAAGTTATTCTTGGCACTTTCTTTCTTTGCTTAACAAACCATCATTATATTCTGGTACTTAATATTTTCTTGAAGCTTACTTTTCATTTCTTGCTTACATTTTAGGAATTTTCCCCAGAGGCGGGGAGATATGATGTCATATGGGTGCAGTGGTGCATTGGGCATCTGACAGACGAGGACTTCGTGTCATTTTTCAAGAGAGCTAAGGTAAAACAGTTTTTTTTACATCATATTGTAAACTTATCTTTCTGATTTAAATATGCTGGAACTGTTTTATTTGATCACTATTGCAGAAACTATAGTTTCAACCTCTTGAGTTTCTATGTGAACGCAAATGTGCACTATAATATTATTCTTGATGAGTGTAAATTTAGATATTAATACCAGCGATCACTACAATACTTTATTAGGATAATCAATATTATGTTCAGATCATTGGACTTGATTCTCCCAAATTCTCTTGGAGCACATTGCTCTTCATACTTTATAGTGTTAATTCTGTGTCAATGAGCGTTAAACTACCAATGAACCGATAATGCCTCTGCTCTATCCATTTTCTAACTTCTCCAATTTCTTTGTATATATCATCCAATCTTCCGTCAACTATGGTGGTATTCGAGAGACCACCAACTCTCCCAAGGATTTCTCCCAAATTCCCACTAATCAGACCATCCACCACTAACTACTAATCCCCCATATATACTACTAGTTCTCTTCTAACAAACTTGAACTAACTGCTAACAAACTACTAATGAGTTGCACTTCTAATTCCCTTAACCAACTAACAAGTCTCCTGTCAAATTATTTGCTTTTCAAATGTTTAGAAACTTGTTAAGATCTAACAACATAGCTATTGCTTTGGTTCTAACAACTTGGCTTGAGTTCTTTAGAGATTTATGGTAATTTCGCTTCTTTGAACAATTTGGTTTGAAAGAAATGCATGGATTTCCGAAGATAAGGAAATGGTGCTGACCGATTTATTCTACAAGGCAAAATTATCTGGTTCTTTGTTGTCATTGACCAATAAAGCCTTTAAAGAATTTCCTTTTTCCTACTATATGTTTCTGCTAGAAAGTACTCAAAAGGTTTTTGTTTCCATTTCTAAGATTGAATTTTATTTATTCTGAACTTTTATTTACTTTTACACTTTTTCCCTTATTGGATGTTAGAAACTGAATTATGCTTCTGGCAACAATATCATTGCATTAGAATATCTTGGTGTCTGGGATCTAGAAGATTATTAATCATTTTTCCTTTTGGACCACATGGAGAAAGACTTTAAGATGAATTTAATACATTTTGTACTTTGCTAACCAATATGTTTTTTCTAGGCTGGTCTCAAACCCGGTGGATTTTTTGTGCTGAAGGAGAACATTGCAAGAAATGGTATAGTCGTCCTTTTTGCTTTGTATCTTTCTGATATTAGTTTTATTTATTATTATTATTATTTATTTATTTTTTTTAAAAGTCCATTTGCTAAGCTTGTGAGCTTGGGAGCACATGAAAAGAAGAAGAGAGATATAGAAGCTTGTGAATTTTGGTCAAATGGAATTTCATTCTCGTTGTGTAGCATATTGGCACTCAATTCTAGTAAACTATACGCTTAATTTAAGATGGTGAACTAATAGTTTAAGTTTTAAGTATTCTGGATTAAGTTTAAGTTTTCAGTAGTATTCCTTTTCTTCTCTTTTCGTTTCTTTTTTAATTTTTTTTTCTGCCTTCTCTCAAACTCTCTGTTTTCTTTTTTTTTTTTTTTTTTTTTTTTTTTTTCTTTTTTCCTTATTTTGTTTTTCTGTTTCTGTTTTTGTAGGATTTGTCTTGGATAACGTTGATCGGAGTATTACAAGGTCTGATTCATACTTTAAGGAGCTCTTTCGTCAGTGCGGGCTGCATCTTTACAAAACAAAGGTTAGACATGGAATCCTAAGTTCGTGATTGGCTGCTTAATGAAATGGAACTTGTTTGGATTTTTATTATTTTTGTTATTTTTATTTATGTTTTGTAATTAGAAAAGATCATTAATAGTTGTAGAATTGCAGCCGGAAAAGTTAGGACTTGTTTAGTTCAACAACTCAAACTGTGGAGAATTAAACATTTTTAGTTAGAATTGTAGAATCTAAACTGTGGTAATTCAAACTGTGATCCGAACTGCTGTTTGGATATGCAAATAAATTGTAATTTGAATTGGGAATAAAATCCGAACTGTGTTTGGATAAAGTGTTGAAAACTGTCACTAGAATTTTGTAACAAATCTTATAAAATCTCATTATAAATTACATTAAAACATATTCAATATGGATGGAGATTTGTTCCTCTCTTTATTATGAACACATTAAAAAAAATCATCTCAATCGGAATTAAAACGAAGTAGTTATAACATTTTTAAGATTAAAATTAAAGAGAGAAAAAGTAGAATCTGGAACTATTAGAGTGTTGGCAACAATTCAGATTGTTAGATTTGAGGGAGGTGAATTCTAAAATCAACAAATTATCCTTAAACCATTATTAATAGTTTGAATTGTCCTTGAATTTTTCTCTCTTAAACACCAGTTTGAATCTTAAATTAAGGTTTGAATCTTAACAACATTTTGAGTTGTTGAAACAAACAAAGGCGTACTGTTTACTGAATCCTGATAGGACAGAGAAAAAAATAAATAGCAACTTCTTTTTTAAATAAATAAATAAATTTCCCTCATGCTAGGAAATTTTCTTACGTATATCAGGACCAAAAGGGAATGCCTGAGGAGCTATTTGCTGTGAAGATGTATGCATTAACCACTGATGTACCGAAGAAGGTTCATCGCACTAGATCCCAAGTGCGAGCCAATAGACCAGGAATAATCAAGTGAGGCAAAATCCTCTTCAGTCTTCTGACAGCCTGCATTTGGATAGCCTTTTCCTTTTTTTAATTTATTGTTAATCCCCATCTGCGTTAAAAAAAAAAAAAAAAAAAATCCCATTTCATGTGTGTAAATTTTTTCTTCTTTACAGTAAATGTAGGATGTAAGTACAGTTGATTACAGATACCTGCAAATTGACAATCTTGTCTCATGTATGATCCACGTCTTCCTATTATTCTTAAAGATGATAGCAAAATAGCTTGTTTCAATAATCTTCTTAACTATCTAACAAAATTCCAATAATTTGCAAAATGCCTTTTCAATTAATGATGTGTTTACTATTACAAAATCACGCTTCTCAGTGCAATGATAAATGAATTTCTCCCATCAATTTGTTATATAGTGGCCACCAAGTGTCGGACCATATCAGTTAGGAAATTCAACTGTACTTGTATCTGCACTGGGTTTGGTTGAGACATGTTTGGGGCTTGAACATCTTCATTCCCAACTGCGGGTTGATTCTCACTTCTCTCTCTATTGGCCTCATTGGCATGATTTACAGTGTTATCGTCAATTTGACTATTTTGATTCGCATCATTTGTTTATTGTTTTTCTTGAATTTCTTGAAGGCATGGCTTCAAATCGATTTTTTCACTTGAATTTTCGCGCAAACTAAAGATTTTGGGTTCAGTCTTCAGTGGAGTCGTCAATTGTTGACAGTGAAAATTTGTTAACAGAATAATAACGGACTTCTCAATGGTTTTGCTCGAATTAAAAGCAAGAACACACAAAATTTATAATGGTTAACTCTCAGTTTGAGAGCTACGGCCATTGTGGGGAGGAGAGAAAATTCACTACTTTGAAAGAAAGTACACGCTCTAATACTCAGAATGAGACTTAGGGGTTTTCTGACCTATAATCCCTTATTTATATCTTAGGTCACCGCCCTTTTTTGTTTCCTTATTTAAATTTGGGATATTTCTCATATCTTTTTGGGATAGTTTCCTAAAAGATAAAGATTACTATTAATCATGATGGTTTCTTTATTTGAATTTCATATTTCTAGATTACAAATAGTAAATCTCAGAGAGAATCCTTCAGATCTTTATCTCTGTGTAGCCTCGACTCCGTAATCACTTCCTTTAACCTCTTTGCCATTGCTTGTGAGTGCGGTCAACCTCATGCCCCCTTCTCACAACGGTTGACCTCTTAGACATGTCAAATGCATCCTTGTAATAGTCGACTCTTAAGAAAGCTGTCTGCTAACATGGCTCTTAGGGCTGAGCTGTACTTGATCAGTTAATGCTCTTTTTTATGGCATGTGGGCCCTACTCAGGGTCTAATTTAAGGTTCGACATTTTACCCTACAACAAGCTTCATCCACTGATTATTGGTAGAAAGTTGTGATACCATCTCCTCTTTCCACCTAAAGTCTTATTTAGAGACATAAACCATTGAGAAAGATTCGAAGTTGACCCTCCTTAGAGCAACCTTAATATGGAAATAGAATGAGCAATTCTTTGTATCTCCACCAAGCACTATGCAACGGCACCAAATCTCGTTGGCAAAACTCAAAAGGACTCTTCGATACAACATCATGAAGTACCTTGCAAAATAAAACATAAAAACAAAATTAAAAATAACAGAAAACCTACAAACAAGAAAACAAAAATAATTACAAATTAATTAAAGAATCAATCCCAATGACTTTCGCCAAAAAATTGATGTATTTCCTAGCGGATTATCAAATTATATCCTTACGAAGATGATCGTTATCGAATATAGTGGTAAGCAAGGGTCATTCTCACAAAGGATTAAGTTTAATTAATAAGTTATTAATTTTGTTAAACAATAAAATAAATAAATGGGTTTATTAATCTAATACTAAAGAAAATAAAAGAAAATAAATCTTAAAATAAATAAAGAACAAAATAATAATAATAATAATAAAACAATGGTCAAAGAATCATTCTCCACATAAGATAAAGGAATCATAACAAATGAATGATAACATCTCCAATTTCCTATCAGAAAAAATAATCATAGATAACAACAAGCTATGTTGCTCCAGTATTTTCTTAATTCGTCCTTAAACAAAACAAGCTCTTCACTTAATCCATTTCCACTAAAAAAACCTAGAACAAGCTTTGGGAGTTATTGATTCAATTCATAGACCGCTGAAACTCTTTTACGATAATTCTGCAGCTGTATCTTTCTCTCACAATGCTAGGAGCACTTCTCGCTCTAAGCACATTGATGTCAAGTATTATTTTGTTAAAGAGAAAGTTGCAGAACGCCTTAGTGATATTGTATACACGCCTACCAATAACATGTTGGCGGACCCACTAACCAAATGCTTACCTATATGTGTGTTTCAAGAGCACGTCTCTAATATGGGATTGTTAGGAGCCTAGAGTTATATTGATTTAGTGGGAGTCCACCATGTGATGTATGAATGACATGTTATTTTGTGAGGACTGCTTATGTGTTATACATAATACATGCATATTATGGATCATTGTCACTTTGATGTATGTTGTGCACACATGTTTACATGCAAAGTGACAAGTTGGTCGGAGACATTTGGTTTTAGTCTCGTTTTGTTATTGAATAAAGATAATTGTCATTGTGATGCACTACGAATCTCAAAAGAATGATTGTGTATAATATTTGCATCCTATCAATGCATTGTTATGCATAATTGTTTTGTGCATTTAGCTCTTGTGTGAGATCTTTGTTTGTGGACATTTTGTATTGAGTGAATGTATGTTTTTCGTTTGATTTGTACTGTCCAAGTGGGAGAATGTTAGAATATTTATATGGACTAGCACAAATCGTTGTTAATTCACTCAAATATGTCACAAATTAGAGCATGGTTTTATAGACAATTACATGTTATAATTTAATTTATGCATGGTATTATAACAAGGGCCATAATGAGATGAGCAATTTTATATCACTAATGTGCTTGAGGTCCTTGGACTTACTCTTTCTAAATATTTAGTCAGCCCATTGGGCCAAATTTCCTCTCTCTATCCCCAAAATGGGCCCATTTTGAGTAAGGGGGCAGACGACACAAATAAGACCAAAAGGGGATTTTGGTCTTATTTATGGCCCGTTCGGATCGCTAATTCGAGTTTTTAATTCGAGTTGAGATGTGATATTGTGTGAGAGCTTTTTACTGTAGTAAAAAAATTAGATGTGACTGTTTCTTAGAGCTTTTTACTGTAACAAAATTCGAATTCTAAACTCGAATCAACGAAATGAATGAGGCCTTAGTGTGTGTTGTGTGCAAGTGAGTAGTGTGCTCTGCGTGAGTGGGGATAGAAGAAGAGAAGAGAAGAATTCAAAACCCCTCCGAGCGTTCTTTGATCTTCTTAGCCAACTGATCGGATTCCGGCCAAAATGACTAACGTGGTTCCGTTGCCGGCAGGAGTAGGAGCAGGAGGTAAATATAAAACCATCTATTTTTTATATGCTTCAAGATGTAATAATATGTTTTGGATTCAATGGTTCAATTAGTTTTAATCTATTAAGAACCTGTTATTTCTAGTAGCATCTACATTCACCTTTAAAACACCAGAAGCGGGCGGTTCCAACCTGCTGTTAGATGATGAGGATTTTAACGTCTCTCTTTGTCTATTTACTACATGACAACGCTGATATTCACCCAGAAGTCAACCCGGACACTCACAGCAATCCTCCGGGCTGGATAAGCGGCCTTCAAAAACTAGTTGGTTCCGTCTCAACCAAAGACTCCAAGACATCATACAATACACTTCTAGATCAAGATCCGAACCTTTAAGGGCCATATAATGAAAAAGATCCTTAAAAGGACCAGGCCTGCACTTCTTCATATTTGATCACCAAAGAGCTCTAATCTGCCAAACTTTAGCAGCCTGGGAGCACAATCAAATGGCATGAGATGTGTTTTCCTCATACTCACCACATTGAGGAGAATACTTCTCACAACTAACGCCACGGCCAGCCAAGTTCGCATAAGAAGGATGCAATTATGAAAAGCTTATTAAGTAAATAATAAAATGCTTATTTCATACTATTAAGACACTATTTCTAACGGTTTCAACGTTATCGTCTGTCTCTCAGACTCTATTTTTAAAAGTTCTTTCACTGGTCATCTGTTATTTTTATTTATTTTTATTTATAACTTTTTCTTTGTGTTTTGATTTGTAATAGCGGTGGTCTTAATCCATATTTGGTGGTGTCTTTTGTCTTCTATTTTAGTGTAAGTTATGTTTTCAGCCCATTAGTTTTGATACAAGGACGTTTGGTTGGAGAATTTAAACCATATGATTCGAATTATTTTCCATTTACATGAATTTTTTATGAGAAAAAATATTATAGCAAACCATGAATCATGATTCGAATCAGGGAACAAATCTCTCTGTCAAATATCCTCTTAGTTGCGTTTTTCGTATAACTTTGGTGCATAGTTTTCTCGATCTTGCTTGATCGATTTTCCCGTCGATTGTAGATTTTTTGATAAAGCGCTGTTGTGCCTATTTGGTAAATAGGTATTCGATTTTAAAAACAGGTGAAACCGATTGTTAGGAGGGTGATTGAAGCTCTATAAGTTAGTATTGGTATTTTTTTTTTAAGATTAAATTATTTTTGTACCTTATGTTATAATAAAATAGTTCGCTAATATCATGTGTTTTTAATAATATTAAAACGGTATATTTTAAAAACATGTAATGTCTAAACTGTTTTTTTATTAATTAAATAGAAATTAATAACTTAAAAAATATTTTTAAAGACATTTTAATTTATTTTGATTGTTTAATTTTTACATGTCTTAAAGTGTTTTCAAAGTTTTTTTTTTTTTTTTTTAAATTACTAATTTATTATTAATCAGTAAAAACGATAGAATAACCATTTTATGTTTTAAAAATTAGTCTCATAGTATTAAGAAAATATTTTTTTTAAAAGCGAAGTATTGTTTTAATATTATTAAAATCGTACCAACATAATGCTTCGCTATATGCTATAATAGAAGATATCAAACTGATTTTTTTTTTTTTTTAACTTATTGATATTTGTATTGCCTATGTTTTGGACTGTATTCATAAAAAAAAAAAAAAAAAAAAAAAAAAAAATCCAAAAGAACTTGTGAGGCATTTACTTTTCTTTCCTTGGCCATTGCAATGGGTATGAAATGCAGTGCGGTAGAGGAGTTGAAGCAAAGAAGACGATAAGGTGTTGAAGCAAATACATGAACGAATGCCAATGCAGGCGCTCCTCCTGGTGGGACCTACCACCACCACTACCCCAATTAGCAGCAGGTCCCGCCATCGCCGGTGGACCCCACTGATCGTCGCAGCAGCAGCAGCAGCAGCTTCTTCATCCTCTTCTTCGCAGAACCACTACGCGGTGCTCGGCCTTAATCTCTCCGCCACCCCTGCTGATATCAAGAGGGCTTATCGCCTTCTCGCTCGCAAGGTAACCTACTTCCTATTCTTTTTTACCTGTTTGTTTCCCGGGAAAGTCTTCAGGTGGGAAATTTGTTTCTTGGTTGTTGTTGTTGTTGTTGTTGTGTATTAGTCAATTTGGAATTTCTTCCGTGCAATTGAAGAATTTGATGGAAAATTTCACAGAAATATAGTTGTGTTTTTAATTAAGAGCGTTTAGATGTCAAGAGTTAAAAAAAAAAAAAAAAAAAAAAAAAAAAAACCATTTTGAAAACAATGGTTTATTATGACCCCAGACTTGGAGAATTAGTCAGAACAGAAATGTATAATTATTATTGCAGGATTTGGGGAGTTTTTCTTCTCCAAATCCTTCCCTTTTCGATAGACGGTAGTGGTCTTACGATACTTCCGGCTTCTCGATCAAATCTGTTTTTCCCGTTATTTTCCTAAGTTTGAGGTTTATGAATCTATTTGGAAATCTAGCGGTCCTTCTGAATCAGAGTGTTTGGTTGGTTGATGTTTCATAAGAAGGATCCACATTTGGCTATCTCTCCTTGTTGGTGCAAGGAAGGGGGAGAATCCGTTGATCACTTGCTTTTACGACGTGGAGTAGCTAGGAGTTTGTGGGTATGTTTGCTATGGGAGGCGGGTTTTTGAGTGGCGTGATAGACCGTATGGATTCCACTGAAATGGCCAAGATTTTGTAGAAAGGTGTGGGGTTGTACATGCTATGAGTCATTTGGATGGAGAAGAATGGGACGATTTTTGAAGATTAAGTAGTTGGACACTCTCTCTTCTTGAAAGGACGAATAAATATTAGCTCCTTTTTTGTGGGCTTCTACTGATAAAGGTTTAAAAAATTTCCTTCTTTATTGCTGTAATTTGAAAGGACTAATCAATGTTAGTTTTGTGACCCATCACGTTTGAACTAAAGAAGCACACAAAATCTAATGGAATTTGATGAAAATCTGACGGTTTAGAACTACACAATACGACTATGGAAACTTTGCTGGTATATTATATACCCCACTGCAGAATTCTCCATGCCTGTGTGTGTGGTGTTTAAATAAATAGCCAAAGCTATGTGGAAAAGCATTGTGATTTCAATACTTTGGATGAACCATTGGAGAGAAATTCTAGGATTTTCAAGGAAAAAGGGAGATGGACGTAAGTGAACTTTTTTAGAATCTGCTTCTTTATGGGCACCAACAAATAAAGCTTTTAAGGGTTTCCCGTCTTTCATTGATTGTCTTGATTGGGAAGGTGCAATGGGGAATCAATTGTTTTTCTCTTTTCTAGTACTTTGTTTTCGTTCTGCTAAGTTTTCTTGCTGATTGTTTCTTGAAAGAGGGTGAAGAAAGCAAAGAGAGAAAAGTCTCTTTTGTTCTTAATATTTGCTAACAGAAATTCTTCAACATGCTTCTATATATGATCATGGACAGGTTTGAAAACCTTCCAATGTAGTTCATTTTTGGGGTAAGATTTGGGAGAAATAAACTATTTGGATATTAGGATTGACAGGGGAAAGGGATTCAGTTCAATTGATTTCCTGCGTTTTGATTGGAAAAATGTTTGAGAAAGAGGTAGTACAGGCGGCGCAATATTTCTCTGGCCACACCAGATGGTTTAGGACATAAAGTCCCAACCCTAAGGATAAGGATAAACATAAAATAAGGCAAAGAGCTAATCAATTTAGCTGAGAATAATAATTGTTCATTAACTGCAAAACACCTGACAATGGTAGCTATTTATAGTCTCTAGCTAATAAGCTGTGTCAGCAAAACGGACATTTAACTTAGGTCCTTTTTACACACCAGCAAAGTTTCCAAACAACAAACAAAACCCCAAACGGCAACAAAACTAAACTAAAACAAAATCCAAATGACAACATAAACTAAAGGAAACTAAAAATAGCTTAAACAACGGAGCATTTTGGTTTCATTCATCGGCACTACTTGAAGCCCCTGCATCAAAAGGTCATAGGGTATTATAAAAAATAATGTGGGGATGTACTGGGTAGCAACTGTTTTAGATTGTTTGGGATCTCTTAGTCGTTGCATACTACAAAAGCTAGGTTTTAGACTGTCAAGGTAAAGAGAACAGAGTTTCATAGTTTGTTGGCATTGTATAAAGCGTAGTTATGAGAACTAAAGAGCACAGAGAGAAGAGAATGATAAAAGAACCACATAAGTTTACTCAACGGACATACTTTGAACTGCATTCTTGATGTCTATTGTATCGAATACTTGACACAGCACCAGAGAGGGACTACGAGAGACCGACATATGCTGCTGGCAAGCAAGCCTTATACTGCCGTTACTGTAGTGAGCGTCCTTCCTTTTCTTTTCCCTCACCCTTCTATCAAAAAAGCTTCTAAGCAACCTTCAAACGATTTAAGAATTCGCCTTACGTGGACATGGTGTCTAAGTCTGCGATGTCAAAAACACCGGAATGATTATTTGCATCCTGCGAATATTAAAGCGATCCTTTTTTGCTTTTTTTTTTTGGGTGGGGGACACAAAGATGTTCTGGTTTGCGCCTTTACTGTTATATGTCAAAAGTGATTTGCGTGTTTTCTACATGATTGTTGTTTTTATTATTATTTACTTTTCCCCTGCTTATGGCTTGAATATTGTTTTTGATGTTTACTCGAAAACGAATTAATCCAACAGGTTCTCTAATGGTGGAAAAACTTGTTGGTTTTGACTCTAGTAAGATCATGTTTAGTTAGAAGAGAAAGAGTCACATTCTCTTTGGACCTTGTCCTCAAAGTGTTACATTTTGCTTTTCTATTTTTGTTTACTTTTTTCCCCTGAGTTTCACTCGTTTATTGGCCCATGTTTTAACAGAGATGCCCGTCCCCAATCTTGACATCGTTGGCTTGTGCCTAATGCTCTGGCACTCGGTTCTATCTTTTCAAATCTTTCCACGGATTTATTTCATTTATTTGGCTTTAGGTTTGGAAGAGGGCCTTATTATATTACTAATGGTAATGGGATATATTTTTTAGATAAAGGTTGGCTTGGGCTATGTTGAATTTGTCTTTATCGAAAACCAGAGTGATTCTGTTATGTGGTTTTAGTGAGATAAATGAATTCTAGTCTGCGGCACAAGTTCTCATAATGGATTTGATAAAATGTGTTCTCTTTTGATTTTTGCAGTATCATCCTGATGTTAGCAAGGATTCTCAAGCTCCAGAGGTGTTCAAGAGCATCCGTCTTGCATATGAAGTGAGCACCTCTCATTAACCTTTTTAATCTCTTTTGAAGTCTGAACCACACTGCTCTCATATTGTTCTCTTAAGTGCTCTCATATTGTTAAATCCTTTTTAATCTCTTTTTTGAAGTCTGAACCAAACTTTTATTATTCATCTTCTTGGCTAGGATAAATATTACAGTCTATCAAGTGTTTATTTCTTAAATTGCATGGTGAATTTCTAATGCTCGACACCCAAATAATTTATCTGAATTCCCTGGAACCAAAAAGGAATTGGTCTTTTCCAAGCTTTGTATAAAAAAGCATAAACCAGGCTATGGTGGTCTTTTTTTCTCCCCTTGCCTTTACGAACTTGTTTGCTTGCTTCATCATCTTCTAGTTTTTATTTGCTTTTCTGGTTCAGGATATCACGAAAACAATAAGTTGAAGCTTGCTTAATCTCGTAAACAGGTGTTATCTAATGAAACAACTAGAGCTCGGTATGACCAGGCACTTAAATTCAGAGAATATACTGGCAGACAATATAGAAGGCAAAGGAATGACAACCCTGAATTTGACAGCGGCCCAAGGATTTATAGGTGGGATGAACTGAGACAAAGAATGCAACACGAGGGATATTGGGAACATAACAATTCGAAAGAGGAAAGTTCTTCCTTCACCAAGACAAAAGGAGCATCTCAAGGAGAAAATCAAGTACATGAAATGGGCTCCTTCAGTGAAGTTCTGAGATCCTCATTCATCTCTCTGTTTCTGTTACAGACTTTTGGATCGCGCCTATCTCTCACCTTTAGTAGCTTGATGGCCTTGTTTGATAGAAAGCTTGATGCTGGATACAAAATGGGTTATGTCATTGCTTGGATTCTGGGTGGAAGAGCTGGCATTTTACTTACTTTGTGCCTCACGTTCGCGAGCTGGGCTTGCGGAAAAACCAGCAGCAGCATAGTTGCTCTAGTCGTGGTGGCCATGTGGGTCGGCACGAATCTCGCAAGGTTTGCACCACTTCCACAGGGTGCTCTTCTAACACTACTGTACATGTCTATTAAACTTCAAGTCGATTTAAACTAAGCCATTGTTGAATATGTTTCTTCCAATGACAAATTTGTATCTTCATTTCTGTACAATCCATGTACATATTTTCTGTCTCTTTTACTTTTCCCCAAAAAGAAAGATTATGTTATTAAAGCTAGTTTATGATGAAGAAAGCGGTTAGAGGATGAATGTACATTTTTCCTTGTGTGAAAAAATGAAAAATACGTTACCTTTCGAAATGTAACAGCACGCTAAACTTTGTACCTAGATAAATCTTACAAGATCATTTACAATGATTAAACAAGTGAATATATCATTCCACTCAATTCTTACCTATCGTGTGACAGTTTGCCTAGATTATTGTTTTACCCAGTTTTAGGTCTATTTCTTTTCTTCTTTTATTTGTAGTGACAAGCTAAAAATCTTGTTGACAACCAAGGGAAAAAATAGCACTTGTTTCTCATTGTTGCTTTCCGGTTTGCATTGACCGTTGAATTTCTGAAATCTGCAGGATCTCTTTAAAACAAAAGAAAACGACACAATCAGAACAATCAGTTGAATTCCCCGTTTAACTGTTAAGGGGTTATATTACCAAAAGCATTTCTAGTAGTTCTCTGCTACAACTTTTGATTTACATACAGAGAATCATTCTTTTTTGTTTTACACGTTTCAAGAACTTTTCACGTTTTCTTCTTCTCTATTCTCCATTCCCTTCAGATTCCTCCACAAGTATCTCCCACTGGCCATGTCAACAAAAACCCAGAATCCGTTCTGCACCATCTGAATTCAGAGTTGCCAGTAAACAAACAATTACGAGATGTTAAAAAAAAAAAAAAAAAAAAGGACAGAAGGAAAAGGAGAAAATGTCTAATTTTTCAATGGATAAAATGAACGAGAAAAATTAAAGCATACCCTTTTGAGATCAGATTCTTTTTCTTCTCTGGGTGCTATATTTTCATTTGTGGAATCCTCATAAATCCCAGGAGAAGGAGAACGAGCCGTTTTCCAGGCAAAATATCCAGCTAGAACTGCCGAGAAAAAAACCAAGATGAATCTCATAGGACACATTTTTTCAAGGTTTCGATTGTAAAAGAGAACGCAATCTTCTAAGGACCAGAAAAACTTTGTTCTTTCTTTTTCTTTCGTTTCTTGTCTCTTTTTTTTTTAATGGGATTAATTTTGGACAAAGACGCCCAAACAAAGCACACCCTTTCATATGTATGTAAAACGCGTAGCAGTTGTATAGAAGATTCTTTCCTTCATTTCTGTTATGACTTGGTATTTCCCGCGTTAAAATGTCAAAAGTGGCTTCACCTACTGCCTTTGTGCTTCCCCAGGTCAACTTTCTGGGAGGATAAAAAACAATTATATCACAATTATATCATATGAGATAAAAAAAGAATGTGACTATATTGTTAACAATAAACCACACTAAAAATAAAAGCCGACTGAAATTACAAAACAAGTTAAAAATAAAAACACACCAAAAATTACAAAACAAGTCCAAAATAAAAACACACTGAAAAATAAAACACCCTTAAAATAACACACTTGAGATATTCGGTACTTAAAATAGTAGGAGCTCCGATTCATGAATTTGTTTTATGAATCACTATCCATTAGAGAATCAATGGTACTCAAGGATGAAGATGTAATTAGAGAGGTTAACAAATTTCAACTAACTCTAATTATAAATTATTAATGGAGCATTGATCAATATGTAATGACTATATCAAACGAACACTTCATAGTTTGGAAGTAAATTATATCTATAATTACAAGAGTGCAATTCCAAGTTTATAGTGGAGTAACTTTAAAATTAATAAGATTAATTAATTAATTAATTAAAGAGTTTTAATTAATTATAAATTTTATTGGAGCTCGAAATTATAGGTCTATGAGTCCCCACGGCGTCCTTATAATTCTATATGGCACTAAAGGCAAAATGGGAGATTTATAATTATAGAAATTCTAAAATAAAACACTCAAAATTAATTAATTAAGAATTAATTAAATATTAAATAATGTGATTATTTAATTTAAATTTTAGAATGCACATGTGGAGGGGTCCACATGGTGTACACGCTCAGCACTGTAGGAATTCCTATGAGATTCAGTTACTTGCTCTCCAAGTTATCCAATTAATTTATTTGATAAGCTTTCCAATTAGAATTTAATGTCTCCTATTTATACAATCGTAGAAGAGCTCGTTGTTTTATTTTCAAGTTAAAACAATAGAAGATAATCTCCCACTTTCAAATTTAAAACAAAATTTCTCTTTATCTCTCGGTTACTTGGCCGACCACCACAGAGATATTATCCCATGTGGTTGGCTTTTTTTAACAGATAAGGTATCTAGTTATCTAATTGATTGGTGCATGAAAATGCACCATAAATACTACTTTTGATTTATATAATATTAAATATTTAAGCTCTAATTAAGCAATTTCATTATTTTTATTCATAATATTTTAATTGGAATTTTTCTAGTTTTTGCTTAATTATTTACAGATGAAAGCAGTATAAAAAAAACTACACAAGAATAAGCCATGAAGCCATGTTTTCAAACCACTCGGAGCCAAGCTCTCAGCCGAGCCGTACAAGCCGATCAGAGAGAGAGAGAGCCGAGTAGCTTAGCCGAGCCAACATCAGCTCGTGGACCCCACCACTCAGCGCAGGAATCCGCGCGCGTTTCTTTCCGCCGTCTCACGCCTCGCGCGTCACCAGGACGCCCAACTCTCAGGGCGCGCGTGCTTCCCACGTAGCAGTTAAGCGCGTCTCAGTTTTATCCCCCATGGGTCCCGCGTGTCAGCGTGCCA